ACCAAAAAAAAAAAAAAAAGGAAATCCCCAATGAGTGTTACCCTCGAGCCTGTTCCTCTCCACAGGTGTGATGGTTAATACTGATCAACTTGACAGGCTCTAGAATCACCTAAGAGACAAATCTCTAGGCATATGTCTGAAGAGTTTCTAGATTGGGTTAACTGAGGTGGGAAGACTCCTAAACATGGGTGGTGTCATTCCAAGGGCTAGGGTCCTGGACTCAGATCCCCACCTACACTGGGCAGCTTACAACCAACTGTAACTCCAGCTTTAAAGGATCAAATCATCTCTTCTTGGCCTCCATGGGCACCCACACACAAGTGCACATGCACACATACAGATACATGCATACATATACATAAATAAAATAAAATAAAACAAAATAAATCTTTAAAAATAAAAAAAGCAGGAGGAAGAAAGCTGAGCACTAGCCTTCCTGATCTAGATGCAAAGTAACCACCTGTCTCACGTTCCTGCTGCCATCACTTCCCACCATGATGGACTGAACCTTCAAACCATGAGCCAAAATAAACCCGTCCTTCCCCAAGTTGTCTCTGATAGGGCAGAGAGGACTGTGGCACCCAAACCAGGATGAGGGTTTGCAAAGCTGCCATAGGGGGCAATTCCCTCGAGAGATTTTGCTGGCATCTCAACTAAAGGATGTAGCTGGTTTACACAGCAGAGGTCTGGCTATAGTGCAGGAGGGCATCAGGATGTCAGTATTAGTGCTTTATACAATAATTATCATGAGATGGATGAAGGCACTGGGTCTATACATGTGTGACCATTTATTATATGGTAATCTAAGACACACAGACTGAGTAGACGAGGTACACAACTTAGCCCGAATCTCCTGTCACCTAGGACAGAGTTGAGAACCAAACCACTACAAGCCAGAATTCCTGGTCTGTTTTCCACTTGCAGAGGACCTGGGTTTGGTTCCCAGCACCCACATGGCTAACAACCACCTGTAACTCCAGTTCCAGGGGGATCTGATGCTGTCTTCTGGCCTCTGCAGGTACTGTTCAACATGGATGCACTTACATACATGCAGGCAAAACACTCATACACATACAATAAAAATAAGCCAAAAAGACCTTGTTTCAAAAAACAAGGTGATGGCTTCTGAGGAGCAGAACCTGGGGCTGACCTCTGGCTTCCTTACACATGCATACCTGCACACACATGCACCCACATGAAAACACACACCATGTCCCAAGGCTCAAGCAACTCTGAGGGCCCTGATAAAGCAGTTACTGGCTGCTTACTGCATGCCAGGTTCTGTCTCACTTTCCCCTTTGTGCAGTTCCAGAATTGTACCAAAAACATATCTATACGTTTATGCATCCAACAAACCCTTCACTGAGGGCCCCTGTAGCCAGGCCCTGCAGCCGGCATGGTGACCCTGACACCATTCATTCCAAGGGGCAGAGGGAAAAGTGCATGTTCACATGCCCGAGCTAGAACCCCCAGACAGAAACAGACATAAAAGGTTCCAGGGGAGCACCTTACACTTTTAAGGTAATCTAACATCCAGGCTGTCAAATGAGGAACAACTCATTCATGGTAGAAATAAATTCTAAGCACATTCCTGGTTAAGATCACAGAGTCACACAGTATGGAGGTGCAATGGCTCCAGTATTGCTAACCAGGATTTATCACCACAAAATGCTCTTGCATTTAATTTTTTCCTACCTTTTTGTTGAGCGTGCTGTGGTGTAGAAGATGAGGAATCTGGAAACCCTTCTTCATCAGAAATATCATCATCACTGGGCATTTTTTGTGAAACTGGTACCTTTTTGTTGCACAAGACAAACACATGGTAAGTATTACTTGTACATCTTCAAAACAACTCAATTGTCTTATTTCACAGGATCCCCACTGCTACCCCATTCTAGACTGAAAAGGGCTACGTGTGCTAGGGCAGGAAGAAACCACAGGTAAAGGCCTGGGCAGCAAAGTCAACGCCATCTAGAATATACTTAGGCTGTGGGTGCTCCATGTCCCACCCACATGTTGCCTGGGTGGCTTCCCTTCCATGTTCCTGCAGGGACCAGCTCAGGAAAATGGGCTGCCTTTGGCCTGGTGAGGACAGGACCCAATGCCATCCCACCCAATAGTGACGCTGCATTATGAATGTCTACGTGTGAGAAGTGTTGGCCTACCCGGGAATACTGTGTAGGGCTGAGGCCCATGATGTTGGTGTTGTTTTCTAATGGAATGTAACTCTCCCTAGAAATATGCCCCATGAATACAAGGACCAACGTGCTCCAACAAAATCCTGCTTGGGATCAGTGTGCCCTACCTGTGCCGTGTTGGAGATAATGTGAAAAATGCCCTGGTAGCTGGCAGGAAGGTGGTGGCAGCCACCGCAAGATGCCCACCAGAAGGGCATTGCAAAGCCAAGAAATGAGACCACTAGATCTACAGGCTCTGCATAGGGCTCCATAGTAACCTGGTTCGGGGTGAGCAGTGGACAGAGCTCCAATGTCCTCATCATTTGAGGGGAGAAGGAAAAAAAATGACCTCTTACTTTTTATCTCCCAGGAACAGCCTCATTCACCCTGTGAAAGATATATTACACTACTCACTGTTATCAAGGAAGTGTGAAACTGGTAAAAGCATCATAAAAAGGCTCAGGCTCACAACCTAAACATAAAGACACCCTCCATGGAAAACTGCCTGGCAGCATCTACTGGTCCATCAACTGATCATACATTTGCCTATGAGCATAAACACACCCTGCTTCAGTATACACCCGAAGTTAAATACATGAACATCAAAGGACACGCCCATGAATCCCCATCACAGCGCTATTCCTAAAAGCAGAAAACTGGAAACCACCAGAAATCCATCATCAGTACAATGACATGAAGTGAATGCTGTGGCCGCTCGGTGGAATGTTATAGGACAGTAAGAATGAACCAATGACTGCTCCACACAAGAACCGAAGACACATCTGAGCATAAAGATACAGAAAGGCTGAAACTGAAACAGAGACAGAGGTGCCGGTCGGGAGGCGGGGGTAAGAGCAAGGGGGAAAGACACTTGCTACACACGCCTGGTGTTAAATTCAATCCCCGAAACCTTTGTAAAGTGGAAGGAGACCTGACTCTACAGAGTTGTCTTACACACCCACCCACACACACACACACACACACACACACACACACTAATAATAATAATAATAATAATAATAATAATAATAATGTTTTAATTTATAGAAGGAAATTGGCCATGAAGATACCCAACAAAAGGAGGATGAAGACTGTCAGTCAAAACACGTATTAGGGGACTGGAGAGATGACTCAGCAGTTAAGAGCACCGGCGGCTCTTCCAAAGGACCTGAGTTCAGTTCCCAGTACCCACATGGCAGCTAACAACCATCCTCAGTTCCAGGGGATCTGACATCCCTCTTTTGGCCTCCATGGACATAATACACATATGGTACACTTATATACATACAGGCAATACACACATACACATACATATTAGAGCAAAAGACATTTCTAGGTATGATTTCAGATTTAAATATACCTAACAATAGAGTCATACATTCTATGACTTCATGCACTTAAATATGAAAAACTTAGATATCAGAATTCTGTCTTTTTTTCTCTTTTTTCTTTCTTTTTTTGATCTTTTTTGAGACAGGGTCTCCCTGTCGTGCTAGCTGACCTGGAACTCACTAAGTAGACCAGGCTGGCCTTGAACTCACAGAGATCTGCCTGCCTCTGCCTCCCAAGTGTTGGGATTAAAGGTGTGTACCACCATACCTGGCAGAATTCTGTCTTTTAGACTTGGAAATGAAATTTGAGAAAGCCTGACAAAACAGTGAGAAAGCTGCAGTGTCCAGTGTTAGGTCTGAACGCACAAGATGACTCTGACGGCCAGCACTGATTAACCCAATAAAATGCAGAATCCGGCCCAGAACCACATGCAAGCTTCCTGACACCTCTCCTCAGTCAGTCATGAACATAACAAACTCCCCAAATGCCACTAGAGGTAGACTGCATGGAGGTGCTCCCCCTTGGGAAGAATCTGGACAGGAATTCGGGAAGAAGCCAGGTGTGGTGGTGCACACCTTTAATCCTAGCAGAGGCAGGCAGATCTCTGTGGCCTGCTTGCTCTGGAAGTATGGAGGACCTAAACTCAGTCTTCAAAATCTGCATCACACACACACCACACATACACATACATGAGAAAACAAAAATAAAACATTAACTACCCACAAAGATGCTTATCTTTGCCTTTCCAGGACTTGACCCCAAAGGACAAAGCAAAACGGTTTAAATTTTAGCCCAATCAGACAGAAAACAGGGCTGAATACATTAGAGAAAACCAGGGGGTGGTGCAGATTGAAAGAATCAAAGGCAGAACAAAGACATGGCTCCCATGCGGCACAGTTTACAGTTTACCGTAGTTAACATGGGGGCCCAGCTTGAGGAGGCGGGGATCACCTGGTTCCTGTGTGGCACAGCATAGGCAGAGTCTCTGCGATCTCCCATACCCTTCCAGGTGCTGGACTCTGACTCCTTATAGCTAATTGACACCTGTGTGTCGGCATCCCCTTCTTCCCCATAGCCTACTGTCTCAAAGGATGGCAAAGAAATTCTTCTTCCTGTCTCACTCTGTGTATTTTGCCTGTTAGGAAGCAGAAAACATAGTAAGCAAACAAGTGACCTAACAGTTGGCAATGGGATCTGCACACATTTTATTTTTGAGGCCAGGTCTCACTACAAAACCCAGGCTGGTCTCAAACTTACAATTCTCCTGCCTCAGCCTCCCAAGTGCTGGGATTACTAGTGTGCCCCACTACATCAAGCTGTTACATCCATCTTAAATGCACTGACTCCAAATCCCCAGTAGGAAGTGTTACAATAATTATAACATACAGGGATACTGAATGGTGATGGATCCACTTTCCTGGCTCTGGATATGCTTTACACTCCTTTACGCTTCTTTGGTTTTTATATTAACTCTCTCTCTCTATGTATACAATTCACCTTGTTATTAGTAAGTTTGGGTTTTGTTTTTGTTTTCGTTTTTCAAGTTTTTTTGAGACAGGGTCTCCCTGTAGCCCCAGCTGTCCTGAAACTCGCTATATAGACCAGGCTGGCCTTGAACTCACAGAGATCCACCTGCTTCTACCTCCCAAATGCTGGGACTAAAGGCATGTGCCACCATGCCCAGCTAACAACAACCATTTTTTTAAAACAACATTTAAAGACAGGGTCTCACATAGCCCAGGCTAGCCTCAAATTCACTATATAACCTAGGAGGGCCTTGAACTGATCTTCCAGGCTCTACCTCCCAAGTGCTAGGATTACAGTGTGGACCACTATTACCAGCCCAAAGCAATTTATTTAACCTTCTAAATTCTTAACTTGGAAGTAAATAGTCATCTCACTGAGAGGAGATGGGATATTGGAGTTCATCATCTCATACATGCAAATACCAAATTATACATGTGAAAATCCAGAACAATCCTTTCATTTCATAGGAACTGATTTTGGTGTATGACTTGAGCATGGTTCAAAGTGGACTCTTTTCAAATACTGAGTCAGTGTACTGTTGAATTCATTCCTTTGTCTTGATCTACGTGTAGGACTGCCTTTATTAGGTTCAGCTCAAACACTAGGTTCAGCTTAGGGCATCCGCAGAGACCTTTCAGTCACTGAAGAGACCCTGCATTATTGTCACTACTTTAATGCTATGCTTTAAAATATGACAGGGCTAATCCAGCCCTCCCCTGGACTTCTTTCCAGGTCTCCTTGGACGGTCTTATATCCTTTTTCTTTCCAATGAATTTCATAACCATTTCCTTATCTTTGGTTTCAATTCAGTCAAAGTGCAATTCTTACCAGAAGAAAAACTAGCTACATTCAAACATCTCAAGATCTATCCTCCCTCCCTCCCTCCCTTTCCTTCTCTTTCTCCCTCTTTCTTTCTTCTTCCTTCACTTTCTCTCCCTCTCCCCAACCTCTCTCTTTCTGAACCAAGATCCAGCTATGTTGCCCAGGTTGGTCCTGGATGCTCTCCAGCCTCAACCTCTAAGGAAGTCTATAGCCACTGTGACTGCCTAGAGTCAAGATTTAAATGCAAAGGGAAAACATAGGGCACATGGCTGTAATCCAAGCTCTGTGGGAGGCCTGAGAATATGAGCTTGAGGCCATCCTTGTCTACATGGGGAATATATTATCTCAGAAAAATAAAAGAACAATGAATGTCCCTGGTCAGTACCTCCTGCACACAAGAGAGGAAAACCCAAAGACTACGACTATATAAACACACCACACACACACACACACACACACGCCTTGGCCATGCTGAGGGGGCCTGTCTACTGCCCTGAGAGGAAGCGCAGCAAGCAGCATGTCCCTACCGAAGCCTCAGCTCTGAGGTGGTTGCATAGGGTTCGATGAAGCTGTCCTTTTCAGCATAGGAGGTGTCACTCTCAGATCGGGATCTCTGGCGAGGTTGGGGAATGGCGACAGTCTGTCCGGTCAGTGTAGTTGCCAAAATGGCCGCAGCCAGAGCAGATCTACAAAGAGAGATCCCACAGAGGGAGTGAGCTGAAGACTGAACTGTAAGGTCCTTCTTCACCACAGCATTTACTGATTAGCTACTGACTGTGTGCCCACAGTCCATGATACACCACCAGACACCCCCACTTAGTTCCCATATTGACTGTATGAATCAAACTTAAAGTCATCCCATTTTTCATGGTACTTAAATGACTTGTAAAGACTTTCTAGCCCACAGGAGCTGAAACCAGGTCTCCACTCTGGGCAGTCAGATCCCCAAAGCCAATATTCAAATAGTTTTCTTACTAAAATGAAAGATCAGCACAGAGGGAAGATGAGATATAAAGACAGCCGGGAGACATGGCTCAAACTTGTGATCACCACCTTTAGGAGAGTGAGGCAGGAGGATCTCGCAGTCAAGGCCAGCTTGTTGTACAGTGAGGCCGTTTCAAAAAACAAAAGGAAGAAGCCGGGTATGGTACCCCAGGCCTTTCATTCCAGCACTTGGGAAGCAGAGGCAGGCAGATCTCTATGAGACTGAAGCCAGTCTGATCTACATAGCGAGTTCCAGGTCAGCTAGGGCTACAAGGAGACCCTGTCTTAACATCTGCCCCAAAACATAAAAGAGAAAAGAAAAAAGAAAAAAAAGATCAGAATAAACATTTTAAAGGAACATTAAAAACAGAAACAAAACTAAATTAGTAAGAATATAAGCGAAGCCAATATAACAAATTTACCTTCTTGACTAAAAAATCCAAGGAAAACAAAAGAACAAACTTAGAACGATCCCTGCTACTGCCTGGGAGAGTTTCCAGGTCACAAGTGCACAGGGAAGAGGAACTGGGGTGAGCCAGGCAGGTTGCTCAGATCGGGCTGTACAACAGGACAGAGTGCCAGAAAGGAGAGCTACACAGAGAACCCAGAGACCCGCAGAAGGACCTGGGCATTCAGCAGAACACATGTGTGAATGCGTGTGTGTGTGTGTGTGTGTGTGTGTGTGTGTGTGTGTGAGAGAGAGAGAGAAAGAGAGAGAGAGAGAGCGCACACATACCCACACCCCCCCAACAACTGAGTTTAGTGCAATTTGCTACATAGTGATATACAACAGTCTTTTTGTCACTGGTGCTGGAACTGAATATCCACATGCAAAAAAGAAAAGACTTTGGATTGCTATCTCCCATGTCACACGTAAAATTGACTCCAAATGGATGACAGCCTCAACATAAAGTAAAGCCATAAAACTTCTAGGAGAAGATATAGGGGAGAAAAACTTATACCCTGGGGTAGCTAAAGTTTCTTAGGTATTGTGGGGTCTCTCCCTCCCCTCGTGGGTTGTTGGCCACCGGTCCACGAGGACAAAGGGAGCAGAAGCGACGAACGGGGTCAGGATGGCCAGTGAGCACTGACAGAAGAAAGCCCTTCTGGGGAGGCAGGTTCAATGATGCAAACAGCTCCAGACTCAGTGAAACAGCCCCGTTTATTCAGTGGGGGTCAGGGAAAATATAGTGTGGAGGGAGTAGCCAATGCTTAAGCTGATAGGTGCTCATAGTATGCTTTATTTACATGTGGCAGTAGGCACCTATTGCCTGATTATCATATAGAAAAAACCTGGGGGTAGTTTTTACTCCAGGTAACTATGCCAAAGGTCATGTTCCAAATAAGGTCAGGCATCCGTGCCGGCACTTTCCAGGTAAGTCAGGCAGGAAGCCCCTGCTGAGAAAGAAGCCTACCTTAACAGCAGGGTTCCCCAACAAGGTATGATACAGAGAACATGATCCACAAAAGAAAAAATTATAAATCGGGGCCAGCGAGATGGCTCAGTGGATAAAGGTGCCTGCCACCAAGCCCAACAACCTAAGTTCAATCTCCAGAACCTTCACGGTGTAAGAAAAGAACTCCTGCAAGCTATCCTTTGACCTCACACATGTGCCATGCATGCATGCAGCCACACACTTACATACACACAAATAAGTATTTTTGAATGGTAAGTTGGACTTCATTCAGAGTAAGGACTTCTGGTCTTCGAAAAGCATCACTGAGAGAAGGAAGAGAGAAGCCCCCAGACAAGAAGAAAACATCTGTAGGTCATTTATTTGATTTGCATCATGAATCCATAAAGAACTCTCGGGCTACTGAGATGGTTCAGTGAGCTACACAAACCTGATCTGAGTCTGGTCCCCAGAACCACAGTGGAAGGAACCGACTCCCAAAAGTTGTTCTTGGATCTCCGCCCGGGAACTGTGGCATGCAGGTACCCACATTCAGACAATAATAATAAACATATAATTTTTTTGGCTAGGCGTGGTGGTGCACACCTTTAGTCCCAGCACTTGGGCGGCAGAGGCGGGTGGATCTCTATGAGTTTGAAGCCAGCCTGGTCTACATAGTGAGCTCCAGGATAGCTGGGGCTACAGAGAGACCCTGTCTCAATATATATATATAATATATATATATAATATATATAATTTTTTAAAATATAAGACTGTGATAAAAGGAAAACACCACAATTTTTTAAACTTGTTTAGACAAGTTCTCACTAGATATCTCAGGCTGGCCTAAAATTCACTATGTAGCCTGGGCTGGCTTTAAACTCTAGATTCTTCTGCCTCCACATCCTAAATGCTTGGACTACAGGCTAGAGCCACCATGCTCAACTCAACACAATGTTTTTAAAATAGGTGAAAGACCTGAAGAGATGTTTTACAAAAGAAGACAGATGACAAATAAGCACATGAGAAGATGCTCACTACCACTTATTAGAAAAATGCAAAACGGGCTGGAGAGGTGGCTCAGAGGTTAAGAACACTGGCTGTTCTTGCAGAGGACCCGGGTTCGAATCCCAGCACCCACATGGCAGCTAACAACTGTAACTACAGTCCCAGGGGATCCGACAGCCTCTTCTGTCCTCTGCAGGCATTGCACGACATGGGTGCACTTACCTACATGTAGGTAATACACGTATACACATAAAAAATAAAAATAATAAAATATTTTTTTAAAACAGAAAAAATGCAAAATAAAACCCAAAGAGAGGGCTGAGGAGATGGCCCAGTACATAAGAGCTCTTGCTCTGTAAGCCTGAGTACCTGAGTTCAAATCTCCAGCACGTAAAGAGCTGGGCACAGCTGCAGGGCCAGAAACCCCAGCACTAGTGGCCAGCTGGTCTAGCCAAAAAGGCAAGATTTGGTTCATGAGAGACTCTGACTTAAGGCAATAAAGCAGAGAACAGAAGAAGACAGCAGTTGGCATCCTTCACTTTTACATGCATACACACACACACATACACACACACAACACACATAACACACACATAACACACATACACACACACATAACACACACACAACACACACACAACACACACATAACACACACACACACACACACACACACACACACACAAACAAACCTCTAGCCTGACATGGTGGTGCACGCCTTTAGTCCCAGCACTCGGGAGGCAGAGGCAGGAGGATCTCTGTGAGTTCAAGGCCAGCCTGGTCTACATAGCGAGTTCCAGACTAGCTGGGGCTATAGAAGACCCTGTCTCAAAAATACTAAAAAAACAAAACAAAACAAAACAAAAAACCCACCATCTTCCCAAATAAGATACTACTGCACTATTGATACTATTTTTAAGTTTTGTCCCGGCTCAGACCCTGCAACCCTTACTATTTACTAAAGATATCTTAAGTATTTCATTTCTGTCCATGGTTCTTGAAGTGGCTCCAGAGCGGTTTCAGAACACAAGAGTGAAAGGTGACCTGTTATTTACAGCAAGCCGTTCCAAACACACCTGAGCTTAGCCTAATGTGGTTTTGGTGAGTCCCTAGACAAACACAGGATGAAGAGCTGGTTGTCAGGGGAACCAGTCAGGTCTCAAAGAGAACTGTCTGGCCCAATCCTTAACTATGGATCAGGGAGCAGGGCTGCTGGAAGTGATCACCAAGGTCAAGCATTTCATCAGTCCAATCTACATAATGAAGCTTCCATAAAACCCCAAAAGACTAGCATGTGTGGGGCCCAGGTTTCTATCATCAGCATCCAGCCCCCTGAAACTGTTTCAGGGAGCCTGCAGATAGAGCATGTGGGGACTTCTAGGAAGCGGAAGAACATGAGGCGGTGCTAGACAGAGCACCCCAACTTCAGGGAGAGAGACTCTGGAGCTTGTGACCTAGCCCTATATATCACTTCATAGGCCTATTTGTGTCCTTAAAACATCCTTTATAAAACTGGGCGTGGGGGTGCATCTTGTTATCTCAGCACTTGGGAGACCTCATGAGACAGGAGGTCACATGTTTGAAGCCAGCCTGGGTTACTCTATCTCAAAACAAACCAAAACAAATAATAAAATAGTCTTCATAATAAACTGTTCTGAGAAGAAGTCACACCTGCATAGACCCTGCAGTCTGATTGACTGCTGGAACTCTGTGACTGTGGACAGATGGAATGCTGCAGACTGAGAGCCAAATGACTATAGGCTTTCTTCCCCTTAAGAACCACTGACTACCAACCTCTGCCTCTGACCTAATATCCTTGTAACTAAACTTAAGGAACCTAAGTAACTTCCACATTCCACAAACCCTAAACTAAGGAAGTTATAAATTATCATCTGAACCCTATATAGATTTCACACTCCACTGTAATCCGCCTGCTTCATGTCTACACAAGTGTATTTGGTAAATACATTGATCTCTGACTTTCTTTTTCTGCATGACTATAAAAGTTAATGTAATCTCAGGCCTGGCCTGGTGGCACACGCCTTTAATCCCACCACTCAGGTGGCAGAGGCAGGTGGATCTCTGTGAGTCTGAGGCCAGCCTGGTTTACATAGTGAGTTCCAGGGCAGCAGGGGCTACAGGGAGACCTTATCTCAAAAAAAAAAAATTATTATAATCTCTTCCAGACTGGAGCATGTCACTGAATCCATGTCTCAGGGCCACAGACACTCCACTTAACTCAGAACCTGGATCTGTGCTCCCAGGCCAGTCACCCATATCTATCTCAGAATAAGCCATTTCTTATTCCCTCTGGACCAAGAGCTATGTATGTTTTGCATCGTGCTTTTCCCTGAGTTCTATGAGGTACTCTATCAAATCAAATATAAGGACAGGGCTGTGGGAGCACCAGCTTATAGTCAGGTCTGAAGCACTAATAAACAGCCTGGGCTTGCATCTGGTATCTGAGGTGGGAGCACGGTAATCTTGAGGATTGACCCCAAAAGTCTGGGATCTGATGCAGTTTTCAGGAAGACAGTTTCAGAACTGGATTCAAGGATGCCCAGCTGGTACCCACTGAGGAATTAACAGCTTGCTTGCTGGTGGGAAGGAGTCAGAGTGATCTGTGTTGCTTATTGCTGGGTGAGAGTATAGAGAAACTGAACCAGCTTTCCCCCTTATCCTCAGAACTGCACACACATTAAATGTCTGAAATCTAAAACATTGACTGGGACAATCCCTTACACTCAGTTTTTCCAACATGGACTAGGAGAATGGCTCCCATAATGAGCAGCAGCAGGAAGAAGGGTCATTGTGCCACTCACAAGGTGGGGCACAGCGTCAACACTCACAAGCACATGTCTGCAACTGCCCCTTGGGCTCGCAAAGACCAGAATTTAGCAGAGAGGAGCTGGGGACTCCACATATGCACTTGAGCACGAAGCTACAGAGCTAGCTGCTAAACGAACAGGGAAAAGCCCGTCCTTCTCTGTACAGAGCTGACCAGAAAGGATTCAAACAAGCTCTATATGTCAGTTTCTTGTAGCTTTTCACCACATTTAAAAACTACAGTTACTGTGGATGAAAATTAACTATGAAACTAACCAGCCTGGACTGTCAAGAGTTATAAAACCACATGCACAAATCGATGGGGCCAACCAGGTGCTGGTGAGGTGTGAAGCAGGGGCTGGTGTGGTGTGAAGCAGGGGCCGGTGAGATGTGAAGCAGGGGCTGGTGTGGTGTGAAGCAGGGGCCGGTGAGGGGTGAAGCAGGTGGAATTTATGCTGCTGATGGGAACAGAAATGCAACAGCTTTGGGGAACAAGATGGTAATCTTTAAAAACATTTTGAGATAGAGTCTCACTATGTAGTTCAGGCTGGCATAGAACTCTTGATCCTAGTGTATCAGCTTCCTGAGTGATGGAATTACTGGAGTATTCCACCAAACCTTTTTTTTTTTTTTAAAAGGTTAGCCTGAACTGGCTATGTAAACCAGGCTGACCTCAATTTCAGAGCTCTGCCTGCCTCTGCCTCCTGAGTGCTGGGATCAAAGGTGTGTGCCACCAGCCCAGCAACACAGACCTTTTGAAAAAGACTTCCTTTTTTTAAAAAAAAAAAAGTATTTATTTTTATTTTATGTGTATGAGTGTATTTATTGCCTGCATGTATGTAAGTGCACCCATGTCATGCAATGCCCACGAAGACCAGAAGAGGGCATTGGATCCCCTGGAACTGGAGTTATGGGCAGTTGTCAGCCACCATGTGGGTGTTTGGATTTGAACCCAGGTCTTCTGTTAGACCAGCCAGTGCTCTTAACTGCTAAGTCATCTCTCCATCCCGAAAAAGACTTTCTAACAAGCCTTCAACACACTTGGATAAAGCAACAGGTTCCGGTTGTTCTGCTGCTGACAGTGGACTGGAAAGCTAACCCTCCAGCTACTGCGGTGGTTGTATGAACACTGAGGTGCAATGCTCAATGCAGACACACAAGCTAGACAGAGCAGTTCTGCATCACCGTGAAGCCACTGCCCAGCAGCCAGCCCTGACATTCTGAGCCAGTGATAAACACCTGAACAAACACAGGTCACCCAAAGTGGAGATGACCACAGGGTCCCCTCACAGGGTCCCTGAGGATTAAAGACACACTGCTTGTTCAGCACTCACTAGACAACTTGGCACAGAGTAATCACCAATAAATGTCTATCCATGTTGTGGAGACTGCTGAAGGTAAAACCAAACACTAAAATGCTGCAATTTTTTTCTCCTCTGGTGGTAAGGACAGAGCCCAGGACCTCATGCATGCTAGGCAAATGTTTCATCATTCAGGGATATTCTAGGCTGTCAGAGTTTACATTTTAATCAAGAAACACACAATATATCAGTTCCACAGAAGACTAAAAAGAAAGTGCCACTGTGGAATCAAATCAGTTCTTATTAATCACCAAAGCTGAGCACTGCAGCTCACACCTATAATCCCAGCACTACGGAGGCTGAGGCAGGAGGGCTGCTTCAAGTTCAAGGCCAGCCTGGGCTACAAAGCAAGATGCTACTGCAAACAAGCCAAACAAAACAAGTCTAATGTTCTCCTGTGTCTAAAATCTTGGAGGACACAGGCAGGGTCCCAGGAATAAAAGTCAGCTGAATGTACACTGGGAGCACTAGAGGGTGAGGACTCTCAGGTCCTGGCAGTGAACATGCTCCTTCCTTGAACACAAAGCAGTTCTTTAAAAGGCAGAATTATATCTAGAAACAAAGAAAATTTTCTGCAATTCTCCTGAAAGTATTATTAAGCTCACCAGGTGTATAGCTGAGTGGTAGAGCACACATTTAGCACGCACAAGGTCCTGGCTTCCATCCCCAGGAAGGCAGAAAAGAAAAAAGGGAGGGAAACGGAGAGATGGAGGGAGTAAAGAAGGGAGGGGAGCAAGAAAGGGGGAAAGGAAGGAAGGGTTAACCTAAACTCTTGGACGTCAGTGCTTACATTTAAAAAGAACCAATTGCATCCACTTGTGAAATCTGAGATCATACACCAAAGGGATGGACCCCTAGTAAGTCTGTTACCCCTCAGAGAAGCCAGACTAAGTGTATTATTGAACCCTGGTAAATACTGCAAAGGGTATGACTCTAATCGTCCTTGAGCAGTGTGAACACTTCCAGATTCAGGACCTGGTGACCAAGCACAGGGGTGACCCCAGTGCTCCTGATCTGAGACTCACCTGGGTCTTTCTGGAGATGGGTCAGGACTGCGGGGAGGAGGTGTGCGTGGCACAGCTGGCTTTGGAGCAATGCTGGCTGCAGGGAGGAAGCCATGGATGATGTGATTCTGCGCAAACGAAACCCAGAGCAGCAGGTCACCGGAAGGGGGAAATCACCTGGGTCCTGTCACCACCATCACCTCCCAAGCTGAGGAGGGTATACCAGGACTGGCCACCCAGGGATCCAGTCCCAGTAGGAACCCCAATCCTCTCCTGCCAGTTCCAATTCTCATTCAGCCAGGCAAGTGCCTTCACCAGCGGTGTGCCATCATGGCTGACCATCATGGCAGGCCTCACATGCTGTGCTGGATAGTTTTATTGTTAACTTGACACACCTTGGTTTAGAGAGCCTCAATTGGGAATTGCCTTCATTGTACTGGCCTGTGGCCATGTCTGTGGGGCACCTTCTTGATTGTTGAGTGATGTGGGAGGGCCCAGCCCACTGTGGGTGGTGCCACCCCTGGGAAGGTGGGCCTGTGTTGCATAAGAAAGCAGGCTGAGCAGGGGCCAGGGGAGCAAGCCCTTAAGCAGTGTTCCTCCATGGCCTGTGCTCCAGCTCCTGTCTCCAGGTTCCTGCCCTGAGTTCCTACCTTGGGCTCCCTCATGAACTGTGACCTGGGAGATGTAAGACAAATAAACCCTTTTGTCCCGGAAGTTGGTAGTGGTCAGAGTGTTTTGTCATAGCAATGGAGAAACAAACTAGGACACATATTTTCCTCCTTAGAGCAGCTTTCCTGACTGCTGGTTAATTTCCACTGTAATTGATTAGGTTATTGAAGACCTAAGGCTTTCATCAGGCACACCTTGGGTGTGTCCATGAGGGCTTTTCCAGCAAGGATTAACTGAGCTGGGAAGATCCACCCTAACTGTGAAGACCATGGGCTGCAGCCTGGACTGAATAAAAGGGGAAAAGGACAAAACAGGCCAAATCCCAGCATTCCCCTTTCTCTGCTTCCTGGTCTGCTGAAATGTGAGCAAGCACCCACTGCATGCTCCTGCCACCATGGAATCACCCAACACACCTTCCCTGCCATGAGGGACAGTATCCCTCAACCCATCAACCAAAATAAACAAACTCTGCTCCCTTAAGTTGCTTCTTGTCAGATACTGGGTCACAGTGACAAGTAACAAATGCACTGACCATCATCTTCCAGTTTTCTAACACACAGCACTGTTTCCACAAAGTCACTAGCCCCTCCCTGCTCCCTGTTGGGGATGGCAACGTCCTGAGCGACAGGTGCCTTTCTTATCTTTATCAGCCCTGAACTCTAGTGCTCAGCACACTGACCCCACATCTGAAAGGAAGTTGAATAAAAACTCCAAGTGGCTTATTTCAAAGATAGTGTGGGAGATGAGTTCCTGCACATGGCAGAGTCAAAGAGAACCCTGCCTTAGATACTGGGAGTTTCTCAGGAGTTTCTGAGCCTCATCAGTTCCTGCTTTCTAGGCCCTAGCAGAGGCAGGATATCATGACAACAATGAAGACACCTTGTCTTAATCCTCAAGGAGGTACAGAGTTAAAATACCCATAGAGTTATTATGGAACACCAAATTATGGGAAATGGCAGGGAAAGGGAAAAAACAAAATGTTGAGATCACCCTAGGAAGGAAGTGCTCCTTCAGGTTTTAAGACTAGCAAGGAGACTTCAAAGGTCTCCCGAGGAGAAAGTCACAGAAGCTTTTAGAATGGGGCTTCAAAGATGGCCACCGCCTCTATATTTGGAACAGGGAGCAGTATGAACAAGGGAACTAACACAAGTGGCGGTGACTTAAAGTAGGAAAGGTGGACCTAAGGGATGAGTGGGCCATTAAAAGTTACTGAGGATGGGGGGAGATGGCTCAGTGGTTAAGAGCACTGGCTGCTCTTGCAGAGGACCCAGCTTCTGTTTCCAGCACTCACAGAGCAGCTAACAACCATTTTTAACTCCAGTTCCAGGGGAGCCAACAGCCCTCTTCTGACCTCTGCAGGCACTGCACAATATGAGTTGTATATATGTGTGGGCAAAACACTCAAACACAGAAAATTAAAAAAATAATTTTTTAAGTTATTGCAGTGGGCGAGACAGCTCAGCAGTTAAGACTCTATACTGCTCTTGGAGTGGACCCAAGTTACAGTTCCCAACACTCATATCAAGAAGCTCACAACTATCTGTAACTCCAGCTCCAGGGGGATCCAATGCCTCTGGCCTCCAAGGGCACCTACATTCATAGGCACAAATCCCCACACACAAATACACATAAATTAAAAATAAAAGGCAGGGCGTGGCAACACATGCCTGTAATCCCAGCTCTCAGGAGGCAGACGCAGGCAGATCTCTGTGAGTTCGAGAACAGCCTGGTCTACATAGCAAGTTCCAGGCCAGTTGGGGCTACAGGAAGACCCTGTCTCAAAAAAAGACCAAATAAATAAATAAATAATAATAAATAAATCTTTTTAGTGTTGTTTAAAAAAAAAAAAAAAAGTAAGCCAGGCATGGTGGTGCATGTCTTTAATCCCAGCACCTGGGAGGCAGAGGCAGGCAGATCTCTGTGAGTTCAAGGCCAGCCTGGTCTACATAGTGAGTTCCAGGACAGCTGGGGCTACAGGGAGACCCTATCTCAAAAAGAAAGAAAGAAAAAAAAAAAGTAGCACTGAGGGTACAGCTCAGTGATAGAAAGCTTGCCTAGTGTCCACAAGGCCCTGGGGCTCTCTAGCACCACAAAATAAAGTTGGCACAATCAATAGACTGTGGTGGGGAAGGGCAGTGTCAATGGACTGCTGGAGTCAGGATCCTAGAAAAATTTGTAAGAAGCCAAGTGGGGTGGTGTGGGCCTGTAATGTCAGCATTCAGAAGGCAGAGGCTGGGGACTGTCTGGGGTTTGAGGACAGGCTGGGCTACATAAGACCTTGTTTTAAACAAAAGAAAACAGGGACTGGAAAGATGGTTCAGCTGTTAAAAGCACTGGCTGCTCTTGAAGAGGACCTGGGTTCAGTTTCCAGCACCCACATGGCAGCTAACAACTGTCCATAACACCAGTTTCCAAGGGATCTGACACCCTCTTCTGACCTCCACAGGCATTGCACAACATGGGTACACTTACATACATGCAGGCATTATACACTTAAAAATAATAAACTTTTTTTTAATTGTCAGCTTTAGTTTGAAGTGATAGTGTTTTTTTCTTTTTTCTTTTTAAAAATCATCAGATCTCCTGGGACTGGAGTTACAGACAGTTGTCAGCTGCCATGTGGGTGCTGGGATTCAAACCCTGGTCTTCTGCAAGAACAGCCAGTGTTCTTAAACCACTGAGCCATCTCTCCAACCCCAAAAATAATAAACTTTTTTTTTGAAAAAAGAAAACAAAACAGAAGATAGGGCTGGAGAGAAGGCTCAGTAGTTAAGAACATGTGCTATTCTTGCAGAGGGCCCAGGTTCAGTTCCAGGACCCAGGAGACAGTTCACAAACGTCTGTAACTCCAGTTCCAGGGGATTTGACACCCTCTTCTGGCCTCCACTAGCTCTGCAGGCACGTGGGGCACATGAATTCAAGCAGGCACATACACATTTTTAAGGTCTTTAAAAACAGACCTGAAGGGGCACAACCCAGGCAGAAAGAAGAGGAAAGGCCAGTGTGTTTGGGGAGTGGGTGTGTGGTGGTAATGGGAACAGTGGGTCCACTGAGGGCAATAGCATGTTCAGATCTGCATTTTTAAAAGTCCCTTTCGTTGCTCCGTAGACAGTAAACCTTGGAGGCGAGGGGTGAAAGCAGAGCACCCGGGGAGGAGCTGATTAGGGAGGAGTCCGGGGAGACAGAGGCCGGGGTCAGGATGGGAATGGCCTAAGATGACTGGGTGGGCAGACGCGACCGACGTGCTTGGGGGTAAGTGGTGCCGCGCCGGAGGAGGAATCCAGGCTGACTCGACGTCCCTGCAGGGACATCCAGCCACGGAGCAGGTTTGGACTGGGCAGGAGTGAACTCGGGGCTCTGGGGAGAACCCTGAGGGCAAGATGGTGATTGCTGTCTGTGGCCGAGCCTGGGATGCAGGACTGTTTCCAACATGAAGTCGGGTCTTCTGGAACTGAAGTCCCCATAGCGCCGCCGCCTCGCCTCCCTCTCAGGCCTGCAGGCAAACCCGCCCCACCTCGGCCCATGGCCCGCAGCGCAGGGCGGGCGAGCTCCACTCACGAACTGGTTCTTGCGGCTCCTCCGGAAGCTCAGGAGCATCCTCGCCGCTGGCCCAGAAGGCCCAGAGCACCGCAGCCCGGCGGGTCCCTGCTGCCCGCCGCTCCGGCAGGCCCAGCCCCAAGCTGCTGCTTCCCACTGGACTCTGCAACAAGCACGCCTCCCATTAGTTCTTGTTAGAATCTTGACCAATCAGAATCAAGTTTACTGCCACACACCCGTCGCTCTTGGCAACTAGCGGTCCTCATTCAAATCCCAGCCAGTGAGGAGGCAGGCCGAGCTATTCATTCTGTTATTGGCTGAATCAGATGTCGATCTTAGACACTTTAGTCAATAAGATGCTGCGGAGGGCGGGGACATGGAAAACTGGAGCAGCTGGTGTGGACCTGGCAGTGGCAAGACCTCAGGTAAAGTGGACCTGGAGTCTAGATCTGGGCGCCCATGGGGTCCCTGCGCGTTTTCCCTGCGTCTTGGACCGGACCGAGAGGCCACCTGGAGTTACTAGGGCCCAGGGAGGTGTTGCAAATGGGAGTCAGAGCCACCGAGACCGGAACCTCCTGGTTCTAACAAGGCATGGTGGCTCCCGCCTGTCATCCCAGTGCTCGAGAGACTGAGGCAGGAGGATTGCTGTGAGTTCGAGTCCAGACTGAGCTACTGGCTAAGTACCAGTCCAGAAGCAGTGCTTGATAAAAAGACCCATTCTAATTTTGTTCCTTTTTTAAAAGGGGAATTTTGGCATATAATTAAGTGTCTGAAAGGGCACTCTACAGAGCCTGACAGACTGCTCCCAGCTCCAAAAGGGTGGAACCGAGCGCGGTAGCACCTACTCAAGTGAGGTTTTGCATTTCCCTCATTAGACCGAGACCACGGATGGACAGGAACCTCCCTGAAGGCGAAGGCCCAGTGCACGTGCCCTTGGGACACATTGTGGCTAATGAGAAATGGCGTGGGTCCCAGCTGATTCAGGAGATGCAAGGTTGGTGGGCCGCCTTCTGTTAGATGCGCTTTCCTCTCATTAAAAGGGGGGAAAATGTCAGACATGGTGGTGCTCCCTTGCAATCTCAGCACTCAGGAGGCCGTGAGGCCAGAGGATCACTGAGTTGAAGTCTAGCCTGGGCTACATAGCAAGTGCAAGGCCGGCTTGGGCCATGAGACCCTCCCTGTCTTTAAAAACAAAAGCAAACGAACAAAATACATTCTATCTCTTGCTGCTTTGTTATCCATAATTGAAAGAACTCATTTTGCTGTCTGTGTTTTAAGGAAAAATTAAACTAGTTTTTGAGGATGGCCTGACATCTGCAGATTTTTACCTGTCTAGCCGATCTTGCATTCTCTATATCACTGAAGCTGATTTGGTGGCTGGAAATAGCTACAGAAAGAGAATTGTTCGTGTTAGAAATGTAAGTACTGAACTAGAGGAACTGAAAGTAAACATTGTCTTGCATCTCCAGCGCCCATCCCATTAACTGCCTCAAGAACTAAGTGATAACCTTCTTAACTTTAAAAGGAATTATGTTACCAAACTGTGTGCTGTGTTTTTCTTCGAAGTCTGGAAATCTCCAAGGAATTGTGGTAGTTGAAAAAACACAGATAAGTGAACAGTATTTTGCAGCTATCCAGAAGTTTACTGTGCTAGACCTTGGGATGGTATTGCTCCCAGTGGCCAACCAGATGGAAGCATCCTGCCTCATTGTCCAGTTGGTAAGTACCAGAGACCTCCTTCACAATAACCCTTCTGAAGATTCTCAACTGGCTTGAACCCTGTCTTTTTGCAGTTGCCTTTCTATAGTTGTGCTGGGTTTTTTTGTTTTGCTTTGTTTTGTTTTGTTTTGTTTTGGCCTTTTTGAGACAGGGTCACTGTAGCCCCAGCTGGCCTGGAATTCACTATGCAGGCCAGGCTGGCCTTGAACTCACAGGCGCCACTACGCCTGGCCTTTTTCTTTTTTTTCCTGCAACTCACTGGAAAGTAGTTGTAGACCAGGCTGGCCTTGAATTCAGAGATCAGCCTGCCTCTGCCTTAGTGCTGGGGATTAAATGTGTGTGCCACCACGCCTGGCTTTTTTTTTTTTTTTTTTGAAAACCAGGTAATGGGGGTTGGAGAGATGGCTCAGTGGTTAAGAACACTGTTCTTGAAGAAGACCAGGGTTCAAATCCCAGCACCCACATGGCAGCTAACAATTGTCCATAACTCCAGTCCCAGGGGATCCAACAGCCTCTTCCGACCTCTGTGGGCATTGCATGACACAGGTGCACTTACTTACATGCAGGCA